GAGTATAGGTATTAGCTCTTCTTGGAAGTTCTGGTAGAATTCTGCATTGAAACCATCTGGGCCTGGGATTTTTTTAGAGGGGAGATTTTTGATAACAGCTTCAAGTTCTTCGCGACTAACCGGTCTATTTAGATCTTTCACCTGGTCTTGGTTTAGCTTTGGTATATGGTACTTATCTAAAAAAATGTCCATTTCTTTTGTATTTTCCAGTTTTGTGGCATACAGGCTTTTGTAGTAAGATCTAATGATTCTCTGAATTTCCTCTTTGTCTGTGGTTATATGGGAGATATTTCCATCTCCTGATAACTTCAATTTCTGTCTTCAGTAATGTGTTTGTCAAACTATGTAAGTCTTTCACTTGCTTTGTTAAGAGCTAACCCAAGATTATGTATTTTTTCATAGGCAATCATGAACGGTACAGCCCAAGATTTGTAAATTTTTCTGTATTAATTTTGTATCCTGCTAATTTGTTGAAAGTGTTTATCATTTGTAGGAGATTTCTAGAAAAATTTTTATGACACTTAAGTATACAATCATATCTGCAACTAATGATAGTTTGGCTTTTTCCATTTCAATTTGTGCCCCCTTGATATCTTTGTCTTAATGCTCTAGCTAAGACATCCAGTATTTTGTTGAATAGATAATGAACAACCCTGTCATGTTCCTGATTTTTGTGGAAAAGCTTTGAGATTATCAGCATTTTGGTTGTTGTTTTCTTTGGGCTTGTTGCTAAGTGCTGCTCTTGTTTTTGAGGTATCTCCCCTGTATTACTAGTCTCTCCAATGCTTTTTATCTTGAATGGGTGTTGGATTTTGTGAAAAGGGCTTTTCTGCATACAATGAGTTTATCACGTGGTTTTTGTCTTTCAGTCTATTGACACGAAGTGTTGTTTTTATCAATATATATGTTGAACCATCCCTGCATCTCTGGGATAAAATCTACTTGATTATGATGGATTGTCATTGCTCTAGAGGTGATGGGACTTGCGAGCATGAAGCTGATAAATGAAGATGTAATAGCTAGCTTTATTCAGAACCTCAAACAATTTATATTTTGAGAATTAAGAAAGGTCACATGAGTAAAATTCTCATGAGTTCTAGCTGTATACAATCACAAGGACAAATCTCATGTGGCAAAAATATGTTTTTCACAGAAAGCATATAAAGGATCATTCAAACATTTGATTGAATAATAATAGTAATGATGAGTAATCTGAGGTAAACTCACTCCTACCTGCTACACCTGGGAGGAGCACAAAACACATTCCAAAAACAATTAAGAATTTTGAAGGTAATTAGGTCACAAGACTCTTGTCTTCTAGGAGTCTTTTCATAAGCATTCAGAATTCTCCTCACATGACTCCATTTCTGGAACATGACTGTGTTCTGACAATGGAAAATCTTTTTTTTTAATGCGTTCTTGTATTTGGCTTACAAGTATTTCATTGAGAAGAGTTGCATCTTATCCAGCTTTAATGAGTTGTGGTCAGACAGGACGCAGGATTTTATTTCAATGTTCATTTATTTGTTAAGACTTGCTTTTTGTGCAAGCATATGTTCAAATTTGAAGAATGTTCATGAACTGCTGAGAAGGTATATTATTTTGTCATTGGGAGAACTGTTCTATAAGTTTATTAGGTCCATTTGATTTATATCATTAAGCTCCAGCATTTCTGTTTAGTTTTTGTCTGGATGACATATCCTTGGAGTGCAGTATTTAAGTCAACACCTCACTATGTGAGGGCCAATGTGATTTAGCTGTAGTAGTGTTTATGAAGTAGATGCCTTTGTGCTTGGTCAACAGATATTTAAATTTCCAATATCCCCAAAGTGGATGATTATGTTGTAACCTTTCCTATCTCTTCTGGTTAGTTTTGGTTTGAAGTCTATTTTGTTACATATTAAAATGGCTACAATGGCTTCCTTCTTATGTCCATTTGCTTGAACCATATTTTCCCACAGTTTTACCTTCAGGTGATGGCCATCCTTGGTTTCTTGGATACAACAGCAGGATTGGTTCTGTTTTTGAAATCATTTTGTTAGTCTGTGTCTTTTTTTTGGGAAATTGAGATCACTGATGTTGAGTAACCAATCAGCAGTGTTTGTTGATTTCCATTATTTTGTTGTGCTGTCCCCCTTTTAATTTACTGGTCTGATATTATTTCCTTTATTTCCTTGGGTATGGTTAACCTCTTCTGGCTAAAGTTTTCCATCTAGTGCCTTTTGTAGGGCTCACTTGTAGATAGATGCCCCTTCAATTTGGTTTTATTATGGAATGTTGTTCTTTCTCCATTATAATTGAAGATTTTGCTGGCTATAGTAGCTTGGACTGGCATCTCTGGTATCTAAGAGTTTGTAGAACATTTGTCTAGTCCCTTGCAGCTTTTGGAGTCTTCAGTGAAAAGTGAGGCTTTATTCTACAAGGTCTGTCTTTATATGCTATTTGCTCTTATTCCTTTGCAGCTTTTAATTTTCCTTCTATACATTTATGTGCCATGGAGAATTTCATTTCTGGTTCAGGATATTTGGTGTCCAGTATGTTTCTTGTACCCTAGGTGTAGGGTGAAAAAGATCTGTGAGTAATAGCAGGTAGTGCAGGTCTTGGTGGATACTTACTTAGAGGTATGTGGTGCAGGCAGGTTATGGCAAGATTAGGTCAAGACATTATATGTAGGGACACCCAGGGTAGATCTGTTGGGCTGGGGAGAAGACATGGATGGGCAACGTCAGGAAAATTCACAGGGCTAAACCTTGAAGGAAGTGGGGGAAGGGTTGGTTAGGTGAAGAGGTTTAAAAGTCAGCAAATCCTTAAGGTGTCAATAAAATGGCATAAATTTATAAAAATTGAGAAAATGTTAAGTTTACACCTCAGGGGCTTATTATAATTAGTGCCTGATGTACATGCATAAAGAGCCTTGGCACCCTTGTAAAAGCTGTTCATGGTCACTATAGTGCTGGAGGAGGGGTGGGTCAGCATAGGATACACTGAGTTACAGGCAACACATAAACAACAAGACCCTGTCTCAAAACTACTAAATATAAAAACAAAAGTAAATCCTAGCTCTTTTTGCTGTTTTTGTTGGTAATTGTAATTTTTTTTTCCTGTCAAGGCAAGATCATGCTATGTAGACCAGGCTGCCCTGGACCACAGTGAGATCTGTCTATTATTACCAACATAAAAGATATATGACATAAAGAAAGATAATATGGCTTTTGATTAAGCAAAGAAACAGAACAGACACCTTAAATAGGTCCAGTCATTGAAGATAATTGTTTTGTTTGTTTGTGTTGTCTTGTTTTGTTTTTCGAGACAGGGTTTCTCTGTGGCTTTGGAGCCTGTCCTGGAACTAGTTCTTGTAGACCAAGTTGGCCTCAAACTCACAGAGATCTGCCTGCCTCTGCCTCCTGAGTGCTAGGATTAAAGGCGTGTGTCACCACTGTTTGGCATCATTGTAGATAATTGCAAATCTCAATAGAAAGAGTAAAATCCAAATACAAACCTCAGTCAGCATTCAACTGAAGAATAGAGAAAAGTGTAGCACATTTATACATTAAAGTACTACCCAGCAGTATAAAACCAATGACACCTTGAATTTTGCAAGCAAACTGATAGAATTAGAAAATACTATCCTGAGTGAGGTAAGACCCCCAAAATGAATATGGTATGTACTCATTCATAAGTGGATACTAACTATAAACAAAGGACATTGAGCTTGTATTTTATAATCCTAGAGAACCTAAGTAATAAGGTGAAGCCAAGGAAAAACGTATATAGAACCACCTGGAAATTGGCAACAGACAAGATCACGAGACAAAATTGGGAGCATCAGGTGCAGGGTAGAAGGAAGGGTAGAAGAGGAAGAGGAGGGGAGAAAGAGAGGTGAGGAGAACTTGAAGGAATGGAAGAGTCAAGATGAAGGAAGGACAGATATGAGAGCAAGGAATAAGATATCTTGATTGAGGGAGACATTATAGGGTTAGCAAGAAACCTGGCTCTAGAAAAATTCCTAGGAATCCAAAAGGATGACCCCAGCTAAGACCCTAAGCAATAGAGGAATGGATGCCTGAAATGGCCTTGCTCTGTAGTCAGACTGATAATTATCTTAAATATCACCATAGAACCTTTGTTCAACAACAGATGGAAACAGAAGCAGAGACCCACACTGGAGCATTGGACTGAGCTCCCAATGTCCAGTTGAAGAGTGGAAGGAATGAGAATATGAGCAAAGACGTCAAGACCATAAAGAGTTCATCCACTGAAACAGTTTACCTGAGCTAATGGGAGCTCACCAACTCCAGCTGGACCAGAAAGGAACAAATATAGGACCAAACTCATCTTTCTCAATGTGGTTGACAGTTGTATGGCTGGGGCAGACTAAGGGACAACTGGCAGTGGCACTGGAATTTATCTCTACTGCATGATCTGGCTTTTGGGGATCATATTCTCTTTGGATGTATACCTTGCTCAGCCTAGATACAGTAGGGAGAGCCTTGGACCTTCCACAAAACAAAGTACTTTACCCTCTCTTAGGATTAGATGGGGTGGAGTGAGAGGGAATTTGGAGGAAATGGGAGGGGAGAAAATGGGTATTTGGATTGGTATAATTACAACTGGGAAAAAAACTAGGTAAAAGTAAATGGGATTTTACACTGCTTGGCAACTTTCTACAGTGTACATAATTATTTGAAAACAAAAGTTTAAAATAAAGGAAAACACAATAATAAAAGCCACCGTCACCTTTTAATTAGTAACTATTCTCATTTTTAGGGATATATTCCAAGATCTTCACTGGATATCTGAAAACATAGTATATATACTGTTATATACTATGTACACAAATTTACAGCCTCTTCTACTTAAAGCCATGCACCTTAGCTATAACTTTTAGTTTGAAGTAAAAGCAAAACTAGCAAGATTTCTTTTACAATATTGTGAATAGACTTATTCCTACTAACCTCACCATATCATTTTTTCTTTCTGCATTAAGTCATGAACATTCATGTTGTTACATAAAGGATTTAATTCGTGGCTTTTCTTTAACATATCTAAATTGATATCACTACTGCACTTGTGGTTTTGAGCCACATCCAGTAAAGAAAGGGCACCTCAATCACAAGGTTTGCATTTGACAAATAGGACATCCACTAAAATATACAATATGATTCAGGAACAAGGGGATGATTTATATGCCAGGTGAGATGACACAAGACTTCATCAAGTGACTCATACTAGTAAAACAAAACTTACCAACTGTGGAATTCGGTTCTAGGACTGCATTTGAATTTTCCAAGTCTTTACTACAATTTTGAGTCTTCATATTTACTTCCCTCAACACTTTACCACAGTTATTAGTCTCCAATAGTTTGCTTCTACTCAGATTCCTCTTTAGATCGATGTTTTCTGTTCTTTTACGCCTTGCATTTTTTTTTTAAACATTGTGTCAGATATTTTCTACAAATGACAGAAGTATAAAAAAAGACTAATTGTTACCTCCAGGAACAGTCCGCCCTTCCACTGGCAGGCTTCAATGTGTGGCGATCAGAAGCAATCTGACTGCAGTTGCAGAGGAGTTGGCCTCCTGCTAGAGATGGACTCACCTTATTCTGTGATGACTACTATGGGCTTCTATGACTACCATTTTATTCCTATGGGCTTCCTTTGTGCACTGGGGAGACTCCTGGAATCTTTGTTGTTTTCAGGTGACCTGTCAGTTTTCTAAACAATAGATTTCTCTGTGCATTATATCATGATTGCAAAATTTAGGATACCTGGGGTATTTTTTTGGTATTCCATTGGTGTCTTTAGCTTTAAGTACCTCAGGACATTTTTGCTTTCATTTTCTCTTTTCTTCTTAAGTCAATTAACAAGCCTTAGGTTTGAAACAGGTGCTTAAAGAACCTTAACAGACAAGCATGGTAGTACAAGCCAATAATCCTATCACTTGGGAGACTAAGGAAACCCTGGGTTAAGTAGGCTACTAGGCTACACCATGAGTTTAAGAACAAGCTGGAACACACACAGACTGTCTCAAAAAAGTCTCAGGTTTTTTTCTTTGTTTTAGGTCTGCTCTATATTATGTCCTTCATAATAAATCAGGATATCCTGCAAAGAGGCAAAATGTACATGATAAAAGTTCCATGGTACTTATAAGTCAATATTTCCTGACCTTTCAGTTTGTAGTAAGCCTGTACGGGTAACTCTAGAAGAGATAAGAAAAGTATCTATTTATACATTGATGAAATATCTATATGACATCATTCCAGAAATATACAAGACCTTATTATAAATATTAATGTCCTAAATAATATTAAATATCAAGTTTGATCAAAAGGTAATTTGCTGAGAAAGGGAAAAATAGTCTTCCCTAGAGAAGAGCACATTCACTGGTTATCCAATACCAAATGGTCAGCCCTGAAAAGACACATAAAAAAATAATATTATACAAACAGAGCAAGTTATACTTACAGATTTATACTTATGCACACACACACACATACACACGTGCACACTCATGATTATAAAACAATGGGCAAAAAAGGTCATAAACTTGAAAGAAAGCATGGAAGGGTATATGGCATGGTCTGGAATGATGAAGGGGAAGGGAGAAATGATGCAATTACATAGCATAAAAAAGTTTTTTAAAAAAGTAAAGCAGCTTAGGCTACTTCTACCTTTTGATTCTGTCAACTTTTACAGTGTTCCCAACAATATTCAACAGACACAAAACACAAGGAAAGAGAATCCCAGATTTTTAAATTCTAAATATAAATATATTAACATTTCTATAGTACAATCCCATGCCTACATAAAATTGAGGTAGCTACAATATAGTCTTTGTATCCAAGACAAAAAGGAAATAAGAGTTTTCACTCTCAATACTGCCAAGTTTATTACTTTAAGACTTCCTAATTGGAAAGCTAAATACCTGAAATCCCCCACAAACAAAAAAAGGGGGATAAAAGAAAAATATCTTTCTTGTCTGTTAATCCATACCTGTATTTGGCAGTACCAGCAGGGATGATATACTGAGGAAGAGAGCCACTGTCTATCATCACGTCAGCCTTAAGATTAGGGAACGATACCTCACATCTCTTGGTTCATAATTCCTTTTTAAAACCTATTCATGTTTTCAGTCTTTGTTATGTCAAAGGGTAAATGTTAACTAGTAGAATTTAAATACTATCAAACTAGTAACAATTCACCTTAGAACAATTTCTGTCTTGTCTGAACTGTCTCTCTAAGGGTAAGAGTCTGAGAAGGGGTAATTCTAACAAGCCTGATTTTCTCTTTGCCTTCCCCACATTGACCCTCATGAATTTTCACTCCATCACTTTCCGGCTCATCATACCAAGGAAACTTCATAAGCTGACTTGGTAGTAGAGAGAAACCACAGGAAAAGACACTTTCCATGTGTGGTTACAGTACGGTTTTTCATGATTTGTGTACAATTTGTTCTAGTAGTAGCAACAGTCAATCAATCAATGTTTACTGAAATGTCTCCCTTGTTCACTGTTGCTTGGCACAGGCAAATACTCCATTTCTCCATTAGTCTAAGAAATTTCTTCAAAAATAGTTACTCATTTTTGTACGTAACAACTTATAATTGAAGTCTACAGTCCCACCACACAGTTTCCTTGATACATTTAAAACTTTTCCTCACCATCTTTTCTTCTGGTCTCAGTACCATCTCTTCTAAAAATATAAACCATGTGATTTTTTACAAATCAGATAGACTACAGGCATTTTCTAGGTCAACTATTTTCTCCCTTTTAATCTTAATGGGGATCTAGAAACTGTCCTTTACCCATACAGAGATCTAAGTACAAACTTTACAATCATTTGCATGACAGGAGAAAAAAAGTTCGAATATTACTATTATCTTATAGTTAGGTTTTAATTTTGGAGTTTGGTCTCTTCTTCAGATCTATATTCTAAAAAGATCAAATTCCAGTAAAAAGGTTAATTATCTACTCAAAACTACTTTTACTAGTAAAGAAATTTTCTATAAATGAAAAGCAAAGAAGCTCCTAACTGTAGTGTAGAGTAACTTTTATTTGTTATTAATCCTATCTACTTTTGTCTACAGACGTTACAATTGTATTTAGGAACATCAATAATTTATTATCTATTTTCACATTTATGTATTGTGCATGTGCATACACATATGGAGGTCAGAGAATAATTGGCAGGAGTCTTTTCTTTCCATTATGTGGGTCCCACATATTAAATTCAGGCTGTCATCAGTTGTTAACCTTTACTTTTATAAAGAACAAGATGGTAGCATACTTGCAACAAATATCTCTTTCACTGTTAATTAAAAGTATAATCTCAGAGACCAGATCTATGAAATTATTGCAAGCACGTATGATAGATCTGTTAGTACTCATGTATCCAGAATCAAATAAATACCCACTGATTTTTTTTTTTTGTGCAAAATTTAAGCCATCTTAGAACTCAGAAGAACTCAGACCATCTCCTACTCACAGGCGGAGATTCCACAACAACAACGACACATTTTTAAGCACTCTAAGAAATGTATTAATAAATTAAATACAATCAGTTTCAAACCCTGATTCTAAATGTCTGCTCATCAATGCTGATTATTATGGGTCATAGAAAATGTCTCTCATAAAAGTGCTCCTAACAAAAGATGGTTTTAAAATGACTTACAAAATATTTAAGGCCAGTTATACAAACAAGTTGGTGTATTTCAATCTGTTTTTCTTCAATAAAGTAGCAAACACTACAATGGTATTATCCTTTGGTTTTATTTTCTGAGAGTAAAAAGTCTAGGCATAAATATTTTTAGATAATTTTAATGACATCCTTTAAGAAAACTGATCAGGTGGCTCATTACACGTCTCTTGATTATTATCATTCATTAATGTCACTGTCAGCCTTGATTAACTGATTCAGATTTTCAGAGTATAATAAGCAACTTTTCTGCGTCTTTCTCAAATCCCTGAGAATCATAATTATCACAGAAGTATTTTATCCCTTCATTAAAAGTCTCTGGAAAGCAGTGGTGTTCTTTCATTGGTAACAGGACAAGGAGCAGTGTCATAGAGGGTTAATCCATGTAAATTGGCTTCCACCCGTAAAGTAATTTTCTGGAACAGAAAAAAAAATTATATAGAGAAGTTTGGTCCTTATCAGTATCATTTCGTGTTTCAAAGACTCCCTTATGCAGTGAGATAAAAACTAATCTAATGGGGAACAGAAATCACTGCCATAAGCATCATCACCCTGAACACCTAGAGAAATGGGAAAATCACTTTCTTGCCTCAGTAAGTTTCTTGTTTTGCTTTCAGAGTGTTTTGTAAAGCTATGTGTTAGGCCTGGGCCTATGTGAATGCACACAGATTATAGAAGTCTATCAAAAATTTCTTCAGATATGCGTTGTAATTCCATTATCAAGGCTGAAATCTGCTTGCAATACACTACTTCCTCAAACCCAGAAATAATTTCACCACAAGTTACTCTTCTTGTATCACTATCTTTCAAGCCAAGTTTTAAACAGCTAATTTTCAAAAAGGACAGGGAATCTGCCAATGAAATATTCTGGCATTCCACATGAAGTCCTACTGAATGAAATTGAAACTATTTCCTTACCTGGAAATCACGAATGTAAGTCAGGAAAAATCCAAAGAAGGAAAATGACATAGACCATTCGGCTGCAGTGGTGACCATGTGAAGCACATAACCCTGAGTCAGAGTGGGAAAGCAGGGCAGTTCTGTGATGTTTCATTCAAAGAATCTATAGTATTTCTCAATTAAGCAACATCAAATTCTTATAGCCTAATCTTCCGTCGATAATCAACCTCTGAGTTTTGAGAACTGCAGTACCTATTTGGAATACACCTCCTAAACCATGCTATATGTTTGAGTTTCACTGAGAACAAATGTTAATTTCCACTAAATAACCAAGACAAAACAGAGTCCACACTGTACAACCGAGGAGTTACTTCTTTCCCTTGAGCCATAAGACTCATAAGTCAATATATGCAATCCTTACACTTAGGAGGCTAAAGGAAGATCACAAATTTAAAGTCAGCCAGACCACAGAGTGAAATTAAAATATACCCCTCAAAAACAAGAAAACAAGTTGTGCCTAGTTTGTCCAAGACCCTTGTTTGACCTCCAACACTATAAATCCTTAAAACGTACTTATGGAGGGAGGCTGGGGAAATGCTCAGTTGGTAGTGCTTGTTGTGCCAACATGAGGATCTTCATTCTCTCTCCAGAACCACACAAAAAAGCCAGCGTAATGGTCCATGCTTCTGCCCCTAGAACTGGGAGGTGGAACTAGGCAGCTTGCTGGAGCATGGTAGCCAAACAGCATGGCAACATCAGCAGACTCTAGGCCAGTGAGAGATTCTGTCTCAAAAAACAAGTTGGATAGCACCCGAGGAATGACACCCAAGATTATCCTCTTGCTTTCAGGAGTACGCGTCATACACGCACATGCACATTCAGAGTGTGCAGGAGTGTATATGAGTGTACCTGTATCTTTATAAAACTCATAAACTCACACTAGGAAAATTTCAAGAATACTCACTATAAACTTTCATGTTTCACTAACTTGTAACATATATGATACAGTGTTGAGAGGTCTCAACAGTTAAGAGTGCTTGATGCTCTTCCAAGTTTGGTTCCCAGCTCCCATGTTCATATTTGCATGAAAATATAGCCCCAAGGAATCCAGTGCCCTGTTATGCCCCATGCAGGTATCCATGCATACATGACAAATAGATACACATAAATATAAATTTAAAATTAATCCTTAAAAAATTACACACACACACTTTCTATATTATTTAATATTAACATTTTATAATAAGCTCTTACTTTGTCCTCAGGGCTCCAGTGTAGTTTCTGTACTATATCAGCACCAAAATCACTACTGTACAAAATTGATGAGCAAGTCAGCACTATAAAAAAGTCAAGGAAGAATCTCAGAGGGCTGAAGGTTTAAATTTGTAAATCCTAACCATAAACAAAACAACACAAAAACCACATTAAAGGCTGACACATCTGTTGCCGTGGTCCAATCCTGTTTCTTCAAAGATTTAGTGTCACACAGCAGTACTAAAAATAAAGATCTACTCACGGGCCTCAGAAAATGGTTTACATCATCATAGCCTTTCCTTTCTGATCAAAAACTAGCAGCTCCACCATAAATTTTCACTGAATAATTTTCTGTATTGAGCATACTAACTCTTCCTTGATTTCTCTCAAGTATGACTATACCAAACAATATTTTTGTTCCTGGTCAATTACTTAATTTCAGTCTGAATTTCATGTACAACTGCACAACATTCTTTAGCTTAGAGTGACTTTAAAGGGACGGGGTTGAGGTGCTGGAGTAAGTAATGTCTCGCCAGTTAAAAGCACATGTTGCTCTTGCAGAGGACCAAGATTTGACTCCCAGCACCCACATTAGTATGTCGCAAACATCCATAAGTTCAACTCCACAGTATCTGACACGCTCTTCTGATACTAGTGACTACTAGGTATGCACATGGTGCACATGCATATATGCAGGCAAAACCCCCATACACATAAAATAATCTAAAAGTATTAAAATTAACAAACTGGTACTTACATTGTACCTATCTTACTCCCTTGTTCTGTCCTCCTATTCTCTTTGAACAGTAAACCACACTTTATAACAAAGGATACTGCTTAGTGCACTTACTCCACACCAGATAACCAACAGGAGTCTGATCCAGAAGACTTGTTTGCTGTGGATTTTAGGTTGCATTTGGTAGGAAAGGATGGTTTGAACAAACATGTACAATGAACCCATACTAAAGGCAAGCACAGCTCCACATACATGTGCAACAAATAGTGTTGATTTCTGAGAAGCAGAAAAAAGTCCGTCAGTCAACCAGAGGAACTCAGACACATCAACAATATATCCTTTAAAAGCACAAGCCAGATAATTCAATAGAGCGTTCACTGAGTGGAGAAGCTCTGCGGATTACAAAATCACTTCCCCAAAGTACTGGAAGATTATAGTGAAACCTGATGACTTTACTTACCAACAATGAAAATGGCAACAAGTATCCATGTTTTCTTTTTATAACTTATTTAACATTTTTATTAGGTTCTATTAAGTGTCAAATATTTTTAAAAGTCATTAATATGTAAATGAATGAAAAAGACACTCAGCACTCCCAGTTTATCCTATTCTAGTGAAGGTACACAAAAATAAATAATAAACTTCAGAAATAAAGGCATTCCACAGTAAGGTACAAAATGGTAATAATAGAAAAAAGCAAATAGGTTAAAAGCAAAGAGCTAGGGATATCAGGCTAAGAGAGTTTAAATTCAAATGTAATTTAAGGCCTTCATGGCACAAGTTTGTTACTGATTATTCCACAGGGATTATTATAAATTATAATGTCTTCCCCTTATTTACTTACATTCAATTTCTAACATTGTATTTTCCATCTGTTTAAAAGTGACAATTGTCAATATCAAATTTCTACAATCAAATTTTAAATCAAATTTTGGTTGAATCACTGTTTTTTGGGTTTTTTAGTTGGCTGTGCTTGTACTTCCTTGGTAGGAAAGGCATGTCCAATACTGGCGCAGAGGGAGCATAATGACTAAGAAAACAAAGGAGGGACAGGGTGCAGCTGAATATTACATACACCCTGTTCAAAGGCGTTCAATTGATATGAAATTGTATTTTCAAATACATCATTCTAATAATTATTGGGCTTCCCCTTGATTACTAGCTATCATATGATAAAAGACCTTTTCTCCAACCTTTTTAGTACCTTCAGGGTTTCTCAAAAAGTTCCAAAATAATTAAGGAGAGCTGGCATGCACGAAGCAGTGTGCTAGGTGCTGGAGTCAGATGGGGCGCGAACCACTGCACTAATAATTAAAGAGAAATATACTAGCAAATAAATAGGGAACTATTTCAACTGCCAATGAAAAAGAAATTAGACCCCAGTAAGAAGTTAAAGGATGAGCTTTCCAAGACTAGAGGATACAAAGAGAAAACCCAGAATACATTGCAGTAGGACCCAACAAAACGACTTCCTAGGAAAGTGGGATCCACACTGAGGCCTAGACTTACTTAGGCCAAATACTTATGTAAAGGAGTTAAATAAACCTGCTTTATTCAAGGAACAACAACATAATGGGACAGCATGATATACAGTGGCAACGTTAAGAACACAGCGATACAAAAACGAGGCTAGAGAACCTGATTAGAGAGGACCTTGGATCAGATTAAATATCTGAGTTTATTAAATTATTTTTTCTTAATGTAAATTCTTTGGAGCTTTAAGCAAGACAACAGAAAACTTTTTTTCTTTTTAAATGGAGATTGAGTAATGTAAGAGTGAATACAGATGAGCAATTCTTTCAAAAGGTACTGGCAGGAAAGGAAGGAGAAATGAAAATAATGAGAAGCAGGAACATTAAAAATACTTAAGAGGGAAATCAGTAAGTCAGCATTCAAAATAACGCTAGCCTCTCCTCCAAGCACCCCCTCCTAAAAAAAATTATAAGAGTGATAAAAGGTGGGTGATAATGTTCACCACTTTAAGTGGCAAAACCTTACATCAGGAAGAAGAGGAACATGGGGATATTTGGGTCTGTGGATAAAGGGGTCAGAAAGGAAGCCAGGAGTAAAAGTCAGAATGTTCAAGGTGTCCGTAGTTGAAGGAGGAGGTATAAGCAAAAGAGAGTGATCTGATTCAAAATGATGAAGCCGGGAGAACTGGCATGGTGACCTGAATGAGAGCCGACGCAGAAAACAAAACACCAAGTTTAGATCTGCAATACATAAGGCCCATCAGCTCCGTCTGATCTTGAGGTGACCTCCTGCGAAGTATAACCATGTCTGTCTCGTAACTATCATGATTGTACTGATGAACAGTCCTAAGAATTTGTTTGTCTTGATTACTAAATGTGGATTCCTCTAATATTGAAAGTAGCTGTTTCTAAAACAGCTTAATTCTGTTAGGCGAAGAGGCAGGAGCAGCATGCGAGTGAAGAGCTCAGCCTTTCATTTTACCACAGACACCCAAGCATTCTGGGAAAACACCCAAATTTTTTTGGTTTTGTTAAAAAAAAAAAAACATACCTGGAAATTTGCCACAAGACAGAGTCCTAAACAACTCAGTATCCCAAGTACAAGGCCAACTTTGTTGAATTTGATGATAAGGTTCTCTTCAGGATTAAGTGCATGAACTTGTTTGTAACGAACATACATGGTAGCAATACCTGGGAATTTGATAAACAACGAAGTAATGAGTAACCAGGGTAAGGAAATGCCAGAGAAGAGTTCACAAAGCTGAACTGCTATCCAGAATCTCAGATTGTCCTTTGGACATTAACTTGAAAGAAGGACACAAAAACAGCTGTAGATTTTAAAGAACTTCTATAGACACACTATAGAACGACTTGAATCTCTGGGTGCCTGAACAAGCCTTTTGCCTTCCCTGGGCCTCATGCCTAAAACTACTTAGTATAAAACTTAGATAATAAGTGTGATGTATTCTGGAAAAATTTTTATTATATTAAACCCATAATATTTTTAGGATCAGCATCAAAGTCAACAGCAGAATGCAGATGGGATGTGCATAGGTAGAACAAAGGGCTTTCCTCCTCATTCCAGCCATCAATTACACAAGAAAACAGAGCCTGCTTTGCATGCTCATGATTCAAGAAAGGGCCAAATCAAACTTTCCACTGCAGAGTTATTACCAAACAACTCAGGAGTATAATAAACATGGCAGATACATGCTTTGTAGACACGTTTCTGAAAAGTATGAAGAGAAAACATATATTTATATTTTTCTAACTTCCATTTTTTCAATATTCTTTTACTTTCATTTACTTATTTAATGTGTATGTGTGTGTAATCACTAGACAGCCTTTGGGAGCTGGTTCTTTCCACCCGCCCAGTAGGTTCTGGAGATTGAACTCAAAGTCTTCATGTTCAGCAGCAAATACCTGTATCTCCTGAGCCATCTTGCCAGTGCTAATTTCTTTTCTTATACAAACCAATATGTATTGAATTGACAGATGAAATTATTTTAAATGACGATATTTGATTATAAAATATTTTACTAAATTAACAAAAATCTGGCTCACGAAAGAGCCTGAATATAATTCACTACAGTGGCATTAGAATATTAATCAAAAGTGAAAATTCCATCTCTACTCTTAAACTTTTAAACTGTTTTTCACAAAAGAATTTAGTTGTGCTCAGTTTTACCCACAGTTCTTGATTTAACATGAGATGTTCAAGAAATCTTCACTGGCTGCTGGTGGTGCACACCTTTAATCCCAGCACTTGAGAGGCAGAGACAGGTGGATCTCAGGGAGTTCAAGTCCGGTCTGGTCTACAAAGCGAGCTCCAGAACAGCCAGAACTGTTACACAGAGAAACTCTGTCTTGAAGAACCAAAAAAAAAAAAAAAAAAAAAAAAAAAAAAGGCCCTGAGGGATGTTTCGCTGTGTTTGGAACCTCTGTTTAGATAAGAAGTCAAATAACCATATAAATATTTCTTCAAAGTGTATTTCTATAATTAGGCATTTCTACCTGTGGGTTTTTTTTTTTCTTGTTAGGCAGCAGGGTTTACTACTATATAACCAAAAGTTCTCTTTCTTTTTTTAGGAACATAGTTATAATCGATAGTTTAGTAGTAACACATTCTCAAGTATAACGAGAGAATAAGCAGTGATACAATTTTAAAGAAGAAAACAACAATTTGACTATTCATTTGAGTGTTAAAACCACTCCTACTTCCATTACTTACCTAAAACTGCAGCAATATTCAGCATTACTCCAAAGAGGCATCTTTCTGGAGGCACTGTACCAGTATCACTGGAAGACAAAGTATGAAGGCTTCATACACCAATATCCTACCATATGTAACAAGGGCTATTTCAAAACGCTGTATCCTTTAAAAGCCCCTGAACTTGACTCATATATTTATAAGGAGAACATAATTTCAGTTTATAAATATCTGCCTTCCCTTTTTCTATCATTTCAGATTTTTTTCATTTCCATATAGATGTATGTTTCTATATAGAAACTATTTTTTTAAAAAGCTTATCTTTCCATATGCTAAATGTACATTCTACAATTATCCAAAATTAGGAACATAAATATATCTATTTATCAGCTTCACCGAAATGTTCTGTAAGCAGCACTAGCCCTTTCATAGCTCTTGTCTCTTTGTATCTGCTGTTGATTGTCTGTACTTCAATTAATACCTGTTTATTAACTGATCATTAAAAATACTAATTAAACACCATTCTTCAGTTATTGTCTTATAGTTAGGGCTTTTACTGCTGTGAAGAGACACAATGACCATGACAACTCTTAAAAAGGAAACCATTTAATTGGAGCTGGCTTACAGGTTCAGAGATTTAGTGTATTATCATCATGGTGGGAAGCATAAGAACTTGACAATTTTAATGGCTCAAATGAACCTTCTTGTTTATAATTTTTTTAAAGTTTGCTGTTTTCTGTGTTAGAAAGATTATCTATCAGAAATAAATGAGGAAATGAAAACAATTGCAACAAACACAGGACAAAAAGTACTATTCAGACAAAGGTTAAAAAAAAGCAATTGATTCAAAGTCTCTAAGATATGTTTCAAAGGCTTTAGCTGGATTCCAAGTGGAATCATTTAGATAAAAACAAAAGAGCCAGCTGAGCTGTACTTAGGGATGATATTTTCACCACCCCAACCCCATTTAATCCTTCAGCTCTTCCTCTCTCCCTTTTTAATGCACCTTTTTCTTATAAAAATATATTTAAACTTTAGTATCTTAGAACCACTCATAATTACTATTTTTCTCACAATCTCTTTGTGCATGCATAAACATGTCTAGTTATGTCAGTCTTTTTACTTTCTCATCTATCCAGCAATACCACACATTTTATACAGTATGCAAAGTTATGCAATGGGGTCTTTAGTATCAGATTATTTCTAAAAGCCAGAGGGGGCATGTTAACATCTTAATACTTTTAAAAGTGAAAAATACAGAGAAAAACAACAATATCAACAAAAAAAAAACAAAAGCAAAACAACAACAACAACAACAAAAATTGAAACAAAAACATATTACCAGTAAGAAAAAGGAAAAGAAGAAAAGGGAGAAAGAAATTTTTTTATTTATTAATTTTTTTGTTTTTTTGTGACAGGCTTTCTCAGTAGCTTTGGAGCCTGTCCTGGAATTCGCTCTGTAGATCAGGCTGACCTCAAACTCACAGAGATCCACCTGCCTCTGCCTCCCGAGTGATGGGTTTAAAGGTATGCACCACCACTGCCTGGCTGAAAGAATTTTTTTAAAAACATGAACAATAAAACAAACTCTGGAAGGCAAGCTACCAAACCACTGATCACTCCAGTGGGGACTCCAGGAGTGAAGAAGGAAATTCCACTTCAGTTTTCAAAAAATTTCTCATTTTGAATTTATTTTTATGTGTGTGTGTGTGTGTGTGTGTGTGTGTGTGTGTGTCTGTATGGGCCAGAAGAAGGCATCAAGTCCCCTGAAACTGGAGTGACAGGCAGCTGAGAGCTACTCTATGTGGGCACTGGGAACCAAACGTTGGTCCTCTGTAACAGCAAGCATTTTTAATGATTGAGTCAGCCGTAGAGACTTCCTGCTTATGAGCAACATCATCTTGTTAAATCTGCTGCAATAACTGCTTGCTGTTTCTGTATTTTAAAAAGATGGGATGAGGGGCACTAAAAGGCAGCACAGCTGTTAACTGGCTGCTCTGACAAAGAACCTGGGCTCAGTCTCCAGCACTCACATGGCTGCTTACCATGTAACTCCAGTTCCAAGGGCTTTGGAGCACTTACCTGGCTGGCACCAAGTATGTATGTGGTATGCACACATTTCAGGATAAACACTCATAAGAATAAAATTTAAAAGTGGTTATGAAGAGTACATGCAACACCCATAATTAAATTGTTAGTAGTTTTGAAATGTCAAAAATATAACATTGATAACCTATTGTTTCAGAAATATCTCACCAGCAGGTCATGAAGAGTAAGAACACAGTCCCTGGAGTAAAACCACAGGTATGAGTCTTGGTTCCATCACTGAATTGAGTTGTATATCATTGAGCAAATACATACTTTCCAGGAACTTTGCTTCTCTGATATAGCTATTAAATATGCTCAAAGTTTAGTCTAGAGGGAAGCATTATGAGTAGCTGGTGGGCCCTTTAAGATGTAAAGCCCAGGAAGAGGTCTTTAGTCACTGGATGAACACACTTAAAGGGAATCACAAAGCTCTGACCTCCTTCCTGCTTGCTTTTGGCTTTTGTTCCCTATGTACTATTGCCATGACATTTGCCTTGCCCAGGCAACTGTGAAACAAAGCAACCCTTTTCTCCTTAAACTGTTTTTCTCATATATATATTACAGTAACAGAGGATGACTACAGAGCCTCTCTTCTTAAATGAGGATAAATTTCTCTACGTCACATGGATGGATGGTATAAGAATTTGACTCCCTAAGGCATGAAGAGTACTCAGAACATTACCTTGTCCCACAAGGAATCAATAAATACTTGCCAGTACTACTATATTTTCCCAATATTACTATGTTTGCAACATCTTTTAACTTTTAAGAGGAAAGTAATTATAATTCTAGTTTCTGAGGCAAGTTCAAGCACATATTTAAGACAACTCACTGCGAGATTAGAATTTATTAACTGATTCACCCTACTGTTCCCGTATTTCTCCATTGCATGGAGAGAACCAAATGCAAGTTCTAGCTTATGTTCTCTTTGCTACAATGGCAGCATAAAAATTTGAATTTTCAAATGAAACTTGAAAGGCAAGATTCAATGTAGACTACGAAAGCAGCTTGGTGCTGGGGCACTTACCTAGACTGTGTTCCAATCCCAGTCCTGAAGGATGGCCAGGGTTCCACCTACCTGATGTAAGGCAATGCAGGATCAACATGGTGGAGTGTAATCGCAGTGATGTATGAGAAGATAAAGGTAGCAAATGTCCAAATTACAAGCGCTGACGGCAGGAAACTGAGGCCTTGCTGAAACCACCACATTTCAAAGAGGTTGTCTGCAGAAAAAGAGACAAATGAGAAACAGTAATGGATGAGTTTTTCCATTCGCTGTTAGCCACACCCTCCCCACACTTGGACTCTTGCTCTGCAAGCATCCCCACACTTGGACTCTCACACTACAAGTCTCCCCTCACACCACTTCAGCACCACCTCTTCACTTTCTCAGAACTAAGACTCACCTATTGGCCAGAGCAGGAAACTTGCTCTCCACTTCAACATTTCACACATAACAAGTGTCAATCCTGATTCTTCAATTATTTCTTCGCAGTCTACCTTCTCTGTCCATTGTCACTGCTACGACTCTACCTAAACCACTACCATCTTTCACCAGATTCCTAGAGTAACTTTTAACTGGACCCTGTGATGCTGTTAAGTATAAAGCTACCCTTCTGCATCATCAGTACCTCACTGATACCAAACTACAAAAATGCTCAAGTCCTTCATCTAAAACCCATAGGATTTGCCTACAGTCTACATATACCCTATACACTTTAGGACATGTCTATATTATAATAATGTATATCAATAAGATAGTTGTTACAATGTATTATTCAGATAATAAAAATATCCTTACATGTACAATACAGCGGGGCTCCCACCCCGGTCCCCTGCTCCTTATATTCTCAATCTACAATTGGTCAAATCAGTGAATGTGGTCTTTTGTTTCCTAGGGAAAAGAAAGTTACTGAAATCTCTGTAATCTCTAGACTGGCAAATGTCTTATATACTGATGAGTTGGCTGGGCAGTGTAGCCTCTAGCCAACCTTAGAAGGAAAGACTGAGGCATGATGAGAGGATTAGGATTCTCATACATTAATCAATCATGCCTCTGTAATTCAGTTCCAGTTCAAATTCCAAAAGAGACAAATCAGATGAACAGAAGTGACAGAGGATGCCTGCAATCCACAGCATAAATGCAGGACAGAAGACACCTAGATGGGGAGAGAGGCTCTTGAGCTACAGTGGACAGATGGGGATTGCCAGTTTGTGGTATATTCTGCAGCAGACCCATAGTTTCCCTGGTTAGGCTTTCTGGACCTCATCCCTCTCATTGTAAACAAGAAATGCGGTGTTTGGAACCAAACAGTTTTTTTTTTCTTTTATCATCCAAGTTGAAACTAAATCTTTGAAATCTAGAGGTCAGTGACTCTCCCACGTCTGTCTCAGCCGACCTGCCTATATATGTGTCAGTGTGCCTCTCTCTTTCTCTGACACAAGGTCTCAAGTATTCCAGGCTGGCTACCTCATTGTTGGGATTCTAAGTGTATACCACGCCATATCTGGTTGATGAGGTTCTAAGGACTAAACCCGGGGCTTCAGGTATACTAGATGTGCCATCTATCAACTGAGCCATATCAGCTTCTCAAGAAGATAGTTTAGAGTTTGACCTGTGACTATGGATAGTAGAGAGAAGACAAACAACAAAGGATGTAGGGCTTCACAATGCAAAAATGCAGGAATTCCAGGGTGACAAGACCAGCATAGGGCTACCCCTGATCACAGTTCAGGTTTCCTTTATCAAGACCAATGAGTGGGAGCACGGCAGCCAGAAACTGAATGACAAGGAAGGCATGCTGCTGGTGAAGCACCAGGGCTTCCACTGTGATCTACAGTAGCCTGGACCGGGAAGTTGATAGGAGAAAGCTTGCAAAAGGCTAAGTTGATGGTAAAGGGGAAGTGGAGGAATATTTGCATGACAGCAGAGTTCCCACCATGACTGAGATACAGCTGCTCTGCTATTTCAAGAAACCTTTCTTTACTTCCTCACCCAGAGAGAACTACTTGTTGGACCTGCCTGTGAGTAGTATGTCCATGGATGGCACATAGGATGCTCAGTGCCGTGGCATGTCAGCAGAATACAACCCTAGAAAGCCTGGGCTCAACGCCTGCAGGCACAGCACTGAGGAGCACACTGCCTCCCTGAGGCTATCACCACTCCCACACCTCGTCTACACATTTTTATTATTTATTATTCTATGTTTGAGTCTTCTGTCTGCAGATATGTCTGTGTATGGTGGATTCCCTGGAGCTGGGGTTACAGTTAGATGGTTGTAAGCTGCTATATGGGTGCTGGGAATTGAAACTAAACCCTCTTCTCTGGAAGAGCAGCCAGTGCTCCGAATTGCTTAGTCATCTCTCCAGCTCTAACCTCTACACGTTTTTCAAATCTAGCTTCAACTCAAAGTCCTTGCTGTTTCCAGCAGCAGCCTGTACCAACAAGGACACCGGTCACACTAAACACTAACATTTTGTTTGTTTTTTCTCAGTTAATTTCAGTTTTAGGAGAACAAGAAACAGTTGTTTTAGACGCTATTATATTTCCAGTTCCTATACGAAGGGTTTAAAAAATTACTTAAATACATACTACATGCCATTTTCTCCTTAAACTCTAGACTGAAGATCTTTTGTAAAAACAAGTCAAGAATGAAAATTATATCTTCATTTACTTAAATTTTTAGAAATTTGTTAAAAGTTAAATACATTAAAATTAAAAGTAATTGTTCTTAGTATTTCCCATCGACTTTGTAAATACCAACTCAATTTCCTTAAGTTTGAATAAGGCTCCACAATCTTCTACTTCCTTGTCTCAGACTGACTTTCCCAATAATGAAATCTCAGGCACTTGCCACTTGTCATCTGCTTCAATCATATGACTAGTTGCAAAATACATATATTTACATTGCTAAGTAAGTTTCTTTTCCTTTATTCCAAAAAGCTACCAGTATAAACTTGATTCAAGTGATTTCCTTTCTAAACTGTCATAATCTCAAAGATATTTTCCCTTTCCTGGCAGTCCTTAATGTTCTATCAATATTGTCATTTATCTATTTATTTTTCTTAGCATTTCCCGGCTAACATCCTATATGTGCATTTTCTACAGTAGGTTTTTGAGAGAATGACTCCGAAAGGTACATTTACTTAGTCAGCTCTTACTTGCTACTTTAATTCCTGTTTCCAATAGTTTTTCTCTCAAGTCTGTAGGAATCCAGTTCTATTATTTGTTAGTTTTATCAAGTCTTACAGGTGCTTTTCTTAGAGTTTGACCTTTTAGAAACCAATGTGACAGCATATCATCTCCAATAATTTTTTTGAAATAGTTATTTGTCTTTCTTTGTCTCTCTTTCTCCCACCTCCCCTCCCCGGGCTCTCTCTCTTTTGTTAGACAAAGTCAACTAATCTTTATTTAGTAAATGATAAAAGGCAATATAACCAAGCAAAGGCTATCATGTACACAAAAAGTACTGGACAAGCCTATATATGAAATAATAAACCATACACTATACTTCTTCAAATCAATAACTAAAAATTGATCATAGACCTCCCTATAAAACGAGAAAGCAATATTAACTATAAAACTCCAAAAGGAGAAAGACCTGCTTTTTTTTTTTTTATCCTAGACTGGCTAAGAACTCCCTATGTAGTCAAGAAGGCTCATGAACTCATGATCATCTTGTCTCCATCACTTAGGTGCCAGAATTATAGGCATGTGTCATCATGCAGTACTCGGAATCTAACCCAGGGTTCCCTGCATGTTGGGTGCTCTACAAACTGAAGTACCCTGCAAGATCCCTTTCATGTGTTTTATGGCTTCCAACCATGAGCTTGTATTTGTGTGATCTTAAATCTGAAAGCATTCTAAACTCTAGATCCTTAAACTACACATCATGAAAACTCTGGTAACAGGAAAAGGTTATCTGAACATACAACAATCGAGCAGTAATCCAAATTCAGCAGGGTAACGAACCCAGAAATACCTGGGATTTTGCCTGGGCTTGCATTGCACAAGTTCCATGCAGCTTCACTCTGATCCCACAAGGTACAGATTGCTCTGATTCAAAGCTACTGTGTGCTAGTGATCAGGGTTTACTGTAAGTACAAAGTTTTCTGTTCTTTAAAAAGCATAATGGTTTAATTACAGAAAACAAATACTTTCATACTTTTCTGTCATTCCTCAGTGTGTAGCATCTGGTTAGTACATCTTGATTGAAATGTGTTAGAATATTTGATTTTAAAAATTTCAGATTTACAGATCTGAGCCAAAACAAACAAACCAAAAGTCATTAAATGATTTCAGTTTGAGACTAGGAAAAAATTGCTAGCGAATGAAACGGCCCTAAGTGGACTTCCACCACCCTGTAATACCTAAACGAGCGTGAGCAGGATAAAATCAAATCTACCCGTTCCCACAAACACAGAGCATGTCCTCTGCCCTAGAGCAGTGCTTCTCACCCTTCCTCATGCTTCAGCTCTTTCATGCAGTTCCTCATTTTGTGGCGATCCCCAACCATAAAATTACTTTTGTTGCTACTTCTTCACTGTAATTTCGCTGCTGTTATGAATCATAATGTAAATATCTGAGTTTTCTGATGTTCTTAGGCTGCCCCTGTGAAACGGCTGTTTGACCCCACAGAGGGTGAGACCCACAAGTTGAGAAACACAGCATTAGAGTGTCAAATATTTCGTACAAATATTTAATATAAAACTAAACAAGTTAATTTGTCACATCAGCATTCGAATGGTAAAACTATATGTATACCAAAGGACTTTTTGAAAATAAATTTCTTTATGACTTTATTATTAATGTTTGATTTGCTTACCTAGCTCATGTATCTATATACCCAACAGAATGTAAAAATTTCCCTGATGAGAAAGAGTTATGAGTGGAAAATGTTTTTAAAGACCAGTTCTAAGGAACTCAATGTTGAGTTTGAGTCCCAGAAGGCATGTGGCAGAAGGAGAGAACTGTTTTAAGTTTTTCTTTGACCTTCAAATATGCACCATGATATAGCTGAACAGGAACATGCATGTGTACACACACAGAGAGAGAAAGAGAGAGAGAGAGAGAGAGAGAGAGAGAGAGAGAGAGAGAGGGAGGGAGGGAGGG